CTTGACTGAACATATCCAAGCCCATGGATGCATGTTCCAGGAGATCAGGAAGGGGTGAAGGAGGCGGACCAAAAGTCGACGATCAAGAAGAACTTGAAGGCCGTACTCTGGCCTGAGATGGACAGCGACGCTTTGCCGAGTGCCTACTTGCTCAAGGTGTTTGGGGCCCTGGAGAAGTGGGATGTCAAGCTTTCATCGATTGTCGAAAGTGTGAAAGATGAGACGGCTGATAAATGCGTACTGTGCTTTGGTTAGAAGTTATGCCACACAACATCTAGAATTGTGATTCCCCTAGGATGCTTTCTTATTCATGGGTTTCGGTGCGCTACCTAGGCTGAAGAACAAGGCCACGGAGATGTCAACTTCTTTGCAGGGCATATCTGCTGATCTCGACAAGATTCAAGCGGCTGGCTTGGCTGCGGGCTACACGGAAATGCATCTTAGCGTAATAGAACACTAGCATTGCAAACCCCAACACTTGAAAGACTGTCAAATTATAATGTACATGCCACATATTCTAAAGTTGAATGACCCACTTCCAGAATTTAAGTTGTCTGCCTGACCTGAGGCAGCAGAAGGAGTTTGAGACGAAGTACGTGGAAGCACGAGCCAAGCGGATTGGCAGCAAGCATGTCCTGGGGTGCATGGATCGTAGAAATTCAGAATTGTGAAGCTGCAGTTGAAAGTAGGTTGGCTTGTAAAGGGTTATATACATACATATAGGGTTTATATGTAGGATTTGTATTTTCACATGTACTGGGGCCTCATGTGGGGTTACAAGGCCTTTAGGAATTATATATGTGTATCTATATATAAGCCATGTACACAGGCTATATAGTGTTCGAGGGCCGCTTTGTGCTAGCTGGGTTGATCTTAGTGAGGGATCCAAATGTTTATGTGTATGTATGTATGTGTGCAATGTGTATGTTGCTTGTATATATATATATAGGGTGATAGTTATGTGGTCTCTGTAAGAAATCAGTATACCCAATTTGAGGAAGTGATGTGATGATCCGGTTTTGAGCAGGGCATGTGGTTCCAACCTGAGAGGTGGCTAAAATTGGAAGATGTGGAATTAATGGGCTGAAGGATTACCAAATCTTTTTTAAGCAATTGCATGGCATGTATTTACTTGCACCTTGCAGTTGTTCAACTATATGTTGGAGATTGTCAGCTTTCAAGTCTACATGCCACACAAGTCCGACCCCCATCCCCAATTCCTGAATTAACTTGGACGTTCTGGCCTGAATTTGTAAGTACCTATATAGATCTCGAACCCTGCATAGAAGCCCTGTATCTACACCACCCCTTTACGTATCAACAGGCCCATACATCAGCACATGTGGCTCGTTGCCAGGTTTGATGTAGCCCAGAGGAATCCTTGGTTCCATGCAGTCTACAACAATCATAAACCCTCATGTTGTAGAACCAACTTAAGTACATTGTGTTGATCGTATACATGTTCGCTCTTGTTTTGTGATGTGATGGAGAGGAGGACTGTATAGCGGTTATCAAACTGAAGATTTTGTAAGGTTCATGCACCTCTCATATGGAGAAATCATGATTGCTTACAAATTACATGTCCCACACTGTGTAACTCACTCCTCGAGTGCAATGTCAAAGAGACTACGAAGCTTGGCGTCACTGCTATGGGATGCTGATGCTGATGCTGAAACCACGATAGAGCGCTGGGATAGCAAGGCAATGCTTTACAATGGTTGCACTGATCGCTGTGTTTGTGCGGATGTCACTACAGCAAGGGCTGATCTGCAAGCGGAAAGAAACCGGTGCAGACAACTAGAAGATGAAAATTCGCGTCTACGAGCGCAGCTGCTAGATCTTCAAGGTCGACCATTGCCATTGCAGGAGAGATCTACAGCAACAACCGTGGTAGTAAGTCAGGGGCAAGACCCATGGCAGTGGCTCCAACAAATACACCCAAGCCTACGGTATTTGCCTCGCTTCCAAGAAGAAGTTCTAGCTGATCTTAGAAAAACAAACCTTGCAGATGGGAGAGTTTCCTTTCGGCTGGCATCATCCTTTCTTGCGTCTACGGTTCTGGGCCATGGTGAGAGTGTGATTCGGAAGCTGTCGTGCAGACACCCAGCTCTGTACAAAATAGGCATCACGTGTAATCCGATAAGAAGATGGTGTCGCACCAAGTACGGCTACGTGAAGGATCGCTATGACAAATGGGATGGTATGCTAATCATCCATACCCATGAAGATCCCCAGGTTGTCTGCTTTTTAGAAGCTGCATTGATACGTATTTTTCTTGGATGCCCAGGGTGTCGGAACACCCGTCTGGGTGGTGAGGGTGTTGATCATGAACTACCAGGGCCTTTCTTTTGCTACGTTGTGCACAAAGTGCTCATTCCGCCCTGCAAGAAGTGATGTTGCACAATTAATGTGAAGAGGAGTATATGTTTACATGGGCCTTCCTTAACTACGTGTTGCTAAAGACTCTGGTGCAGCTTGTACAGAAATTCAAGGCTGTGAGTGCCACAGCTACACAATTGGCCTACATCGCCTGTATATGTCCCCATGCTGCTGTGACTGTTTAGTACTATACCCTACAACTGTGCCGTGTCTCTATGTGTTTCTGCAATCCTATATGTTGTCTCACATAGCAGCGATGGGGTATGCGTCGCCGAGTTGCATAGCTTCAATGCCGCAGCAGACAAAGTGGTATGACGTCCTGGGAATCCAGTTATATGAGGTTTCTTTGTTGTTTCTTATTCCACTTCTTTCTCTGGGTGAGCTTCTGGGATGAGTTGTTCTGCACGGAAACCATTGTATGGACTCTATAGGTTTTCAAGTTCCTCCGTTCAACATATAGGGGTATATATATCAGCATCCTTTACAATGATGGTAAAAATCCTATATAATATGAACGTTGGGGGATGTACAAGATCAGTGAGGCAGCTCCGCAGATCCTATACACCCCTATGTAAACCCAAAACAAATCTTGCATAAACCCTATATATATATTATATGTGTATATATACCCTATAAATATTCAAGCCCCATGGGATTCCAAGTATAAGTCAAGTTCTCGACTATGATGTCTGAAGTTCAAATTCCCCTGAAATTAAGCTGTTTTGGCCTATAGAAGCTTTAAAATCAATTAACCTACATATATGACCCCATAAATTAGAGACCCTCTGCATGTGCCCAGGTGCACCGAGGCGCTGAGCCTCGTGAGCCGTGCCCAGCCTTTGCTCACGAAGCTCAAGGCAGACAGGAAGAAGGCTCAAAAGCTGAAAGCGGAGCCTGTTGAGACTTGAAGGAGTATAGCTGCTTGATTACTGTTTGTGTGCAATGTGCGTGAAGCCAAAATTAGAAGGGGGATGAGTGGCTGTAGGAATATATGGGCTACATAGAAGATTGCTTGGCGATATTCAAGTTTACAGCTGCATGTGCAGCTATATAGGGTGAAGCTGCATGATCCCCTGCTTTTCCTGCTTTAAATTTGCAAAATACAAAATTAAAGCTGCGGTTGTGAAGCCTGACCACACGCAGCTACAGCTCCAGATGCATGACTGCATCGACTGTTAATTTCGAACATCTAGATGCTGCATGAGCCTTTTTAGGGAGCTTGTGCAACTTCCATACAGCCTCTGCACGAAGAGTGCGTGCGCATGTCTGCATGAAAGTGTTCGATGATCATCTCACGATTGCTCCATGCAGTATATACTCCTCTTTCGACCATTATATAGCCCTTACAATTCCTATAAATTTGCATAAAACCAGCCAGAGGTACAGAGCCGACGCCGACCCTGGCCCGTTTGCTGGAGGATGTGGCAGATGGCGTGCCTTGTAGTTGGTTGATGCGGTATTTCAAGTATATAGGGCTGTCCGGTCCCCCGACACTTTTTATTTATAGGCATGTGGTTTGCTTGGGGGGTCTGCAGGGTTTATATGATATCGTGGGTGTATATCTGTAAAAACTACATATATGGATATATAAACCCCTAGCAACCTGATAAATGTAAGTATATATAGATATATATATGTTTGCCTATACATATATGGGGTTTATGTAGGGTTAAATTGGTATATAGGGCCATATATATGTCCTGTACATATATATATATATACACCCTTCACAAGCCCCACACATCCTATATAAACCCTCTATAAATAAACTCCTATAAAAACTTTTTATAAGCCCTATACATATATAAATTTAACCCCAACGAATCCTAAACCCGCTCTCTCTCTCTCTCTCTCTCTCTCTCCTCAAGTGGGCTCAGCGCCCCGGAAGCAGTATGTACGCAACCACTGCACCACTCGATCCTATAAACCCTATATAACCCCTATCTAAACCCTGGATCCCCTACTGGGGACTGAAATGCTTCCTGGTCTGGTGGCCCAACACGAGTGGAAGTCCAGCAGCTTTCGCACCTGGGATCCCCCAATGATATAGGGTTTATTGGCTTATATAGGGAGTGCAGGTATATATTATGTAGGGTTTGTATTGTGTTTATATATACATATATGTATATATAGGTTTATATATGGGGATTCTATATATATAGAGTTATATAGTCTACATAGTAATTTTACAAGGTTTTTTACGGGGTTCATTAGGTTTCACAGGGGTTTGGAGATGGATTATATTGGATTTACATATATATATATAGGGTTTATAGTGCTTTTATATTAGGTGTGTAAGTCTTATGTAGGGGGTGCGTAGCGTTATATGGCGTGTGTTGGGATTATAGGGTTGAAGGCTATATATGATGACTAGTGAAGGGGCCTGAACACAGATTGTGGGAATCTTCGATGTCCTTTTCTGATCGTGGTCATGTGGGCAATGGGTCCCAGAATCCAAGAACCAAAGAAATTTGCCTTATTACGGTTGGTTATATATGGGTTGTTTTGCTGAAGTTGTTGCTCATACACGCCCACCCCCGCAGAATCAACCCTGTAATGTACGAACCCCGCCTAAACACCCTGTAGTGCATGCAGCCTTATATATGATGGACCCCTGCAAGGCGCCTGCAAAAAAAATCACACAGCATGCGCGGGCTCTGGTGGAGCAGCATGGTGCTCATGATGCTCGTGAGCAGCTAGGTGGAGTACTATCTCAAAGTGATAAAAATGCAGCTCGGCATGTGCAATCTGTGGTCAAGAGATTTGGACTGGACCTTCCCGTGCCAATAAGTACCTTCGTGTATGAAGAACAAGGCGATACTGTGGCTATGCCATATCTTCGACCTGGTGACTTTCTGAAAACATTAATGGAATTGCACTCTGACCTGCTTCTTGGGGGCTACACGGCGGGGAGCATAGCAGCGACTCGTATGCTGGAGGTCTTTTGGCAAAACTACAGTTTGGAGCATGCAGCGCACCCTGTTGTGGAAATGCCGCGAGACTTGCAAAAGGTGCATATTCCCTTAATGTTACACGGAGACGGAGGAAGAACGCAGAAAAAACAACCCCTGGAGATTGTTAGTCTGGAGCCCGTCATTGGTGTTGACACATGCTCAGGACAGGAAAGCCAGTGTTCGTGCCAAGCAGCAATGCAGGTTGGAAGTGGCAAAGCTCGAGATCCAGCAGCGCAGCGCCTCAACTGCCGACACAACTCATACCTTCAGAAATTCCTTCTGTTTGCCTACCCTAGCAAGCATTATCCCAAAATGCCTGGATTGCTCCGTGCGTTTCACAAACTGATTTGCCAACAGCTAGCAGCTGTGTGTGCCACGGGCATTGTTGTGAATGATCGCCGCTACTTTTTTGGTATCATTGGATACAAAGGAGATTTCGAGTACCATGCCAAACTTGTAGACTATACTCGGAACTACTCCCACCTGGGACGTGTGCGGGAAATAGGGTGTTGCCCTGAGTGTGCTGCTGGCACACCCGGGATCCCATTTGAAGACATTTCTGCTAATGCTTCGTGGACTGCGACAGTGTGCCAAGATCTACCGTGGAGATCACCACCCCCTGTAACAGACATTGGCTTCGACAGCTGGTACACTCTTCCAAGTCAAGCTGCGCGGTTTTTCCGGCGTGACCCGTTTCATGTTTTCCGCCACGGACTCCTTGGCTCTTAGACTGGGGTCATCTTTGCTTAGTTGGTTTTCTGTTTGCGTTGTTGGAGTTCACTTAAACCAGGTTTATACTGGGTTATGGAGGGGTTGCACGCTATGTGTCTTCAGATTTCTGTATAGGGGGCTATATATACAACGGTTCATATAGAAGGCTATAATTTTTAGATCTACTTATATACAAGGCGTATATATGCAGATTATAGGGACTGTATAATGATGTATAGGGCACTATATATAGGAAGGCTATATAGGCATTGGTTGGTTAATGTCTCACATCAAGATTGGGAGGGGAGAAATGTAGTGAGTAGCTGAGTATACTTGTAGAGTTTCACCACATAATGTCCTGTTTGCAAGCAATGATAGGTCGTGTGCATCAACCATCACAATTCTTCCCATAATTTTCCTGGAGGGTTATATTTGTACTCTGTAACTTGCTGTTCCTTCACGACTTCCACGATTCTTTGCATGCGTATTATACTATGAAGGTGCATGGCCCTTCTAGAATGGCCCCCAATAAGTCTGTGTGTGTATGGATCAAGCTTCTGCTATTATATACCCCTCGATAGTTTAACTTGTTGGACCCTTATATATCTATACCAGCTGTATATATTTTATGTATATGTTATATATGTAGGGTAACCAGCGTATAGTGGGGGGAATTCGATTTACTTACACAATCATACCTACCAGCAATGATAACTGTGATCCTATGCAACCATTTCAGCAGCCCCCTCTGCGTTTTGAGGAATTATAGGATCTCGAAGGCCCTCATAATTGCCTTGATCAAACAAAGCTGCCTACAAATCCTGGAAGACATCAATTATTCACCAACCCTTGGAAGCGAACTGAGTTCGAAGTTTCAACCCTTTTAGAGGCTTGATTGGTGAAAGGCAGGATCCATGTAGCGTTTATAGACAGGGCGTATAAATCTAAAAGTGTATCTATATACACACCTATATATGTTCTACATGGGCTATATATATATTATATCTATATATATATAGGGCTTATATATAGATAATTATCTATATGTATGTATATATATATTGGGTTTATATATCTATATGTACATGCATATATAGGTGTGTATATAGATAACACAGTACGACCAACAGCAGCTCGACAGTTGTTGGCGTATAGGTGTAGGCCCTAGAAGTGCCCTGGTCCGATTGCAACCTTTCCACCTCGAATGAATTGTGTAAGAACCTTTTCCAAACCCCATAAAGATAGGTATATATATATACATATAGTGTGATTATACATGCATCATGCACCTCCTAAAATTACCACACCCCCCTGTATATGCCAGTACAGATACAGGCAGCATGTGTATATATATGTCTAGATATATAATGTAACACCCCATTTCATAAATGTTTGCAACAGTTTAATTGATCTTCTATTCTAGCAAGTCTTTTTTTTGCGCTTAAGGAGTGGGACGGAACTTTGCAGCTTCGTGCCTCATTCTGCTGGCCAATTTTGGAGTTTTTGATGATCAGGAACCGGGGTCCTCTAAGTCTTTTGAGAGTCGGATGGGACGTGCTTGGGGATCGCTCATGCTCTTTTGCAGCGTGCAGAAATTACATATCAGCGGCATGCGCTCTTTCAGTCGCGACAAGGTACATTACGGGAAGGGGATGACGTTTCCATATTTTAGTTGCAAGGGATCCGACACAATTATACTCCTGAAGTGGCTGGCTGTGGTGGTTGGCGTGCAGCTGAATCTGGCAGTGGATGCTTCCTACGTGAAGGTGCTTGAGCACATGCAAACGGGCATAGAAGGAGGACTGGAATTCTCCCAGGGCATCTTTGGACACGGCGTGTGGCTCCGCTCCAGCTGCGTTTTGCATCTCCGAAAGGCTTTGCAAAAGTTTGGCTCCTCGTATGCGCATTTAGCCCAGTTCTGCGTGTTCAAGGGCTGGAGCCTGTTCGGGATGCTGACCAAGTTTCATTCGCTGATGCATTTCAAGCATGATTTCGAATCCTCTCTCAGGGTTCAGCGTCAGTGGACGCTCAATCCGGCATGCTACGATTGTAGCCTCAATGAAGATTTCATAGGAGCTGTAGCCCGGCAATCGCGAAGGATCTCCTACAAACATGGTGGTGTTTTCGAGACAACCTTGCTACGTCACTACCTGCTGAAGGCGCGCTTCACCATCAGGAAATTCCGCAAGAACAACAATTTCCGGCCAGCGCGGCGCTGAAAACGACAAGCACTGTAGTGTGCAGTGTTGTTCATTGAAGTAAGCTCCTCATATGCACTGCCCCAACATTCGAAGTGCATACATTGTACATCCATACGTTTACGTGGTCAGCGGGTGCATGTCAGGAGTTTCCCAATGAGCAACCAAATCCGAAGCCCTAAACCCAGCATGCAGGGCTGAGAGAGTCTGGAATTCTATGCGATTCTCTTCCAAGACTACATGTAATTGATCCCATGCATGTCTATATAGAGTGGCTCAATTATACCAAACCATTGAAGAGGCATTCCTGAAATTCCCTGCATGAGTGGCATCCATTCCAAGAGTTTGACGAGTATTAACTAATAAAATCTGAATGAGCCCCATAATTCAAAAGCCCCAGAATTCAGCCCCAAATTAGATTCTGAGTATGTATGTATAGGGTATGCTGCCTCTACTCATTAATGCATACGCACACTAATTGGCTCCTATAGATTATATATTTATATGTCCCATATAGTACGGATGGCAAATTAAGGGGTGGAGGCAGTTTCTATACACTTTCTAGTTGCAAGTAAATGCTCCTTCTCATCCTCAGTTTTGCCAAGTAGTGAACCCACAACTATTTCCCCATAAGAATTCTGAGCCAGGGCAATTTAATCCAGGGATCGTTCATGGAGATTGCACATGAGCACCATGTGCCACCAGAACCAAGCAGCACATATGGCGAAGGCGGATTGGGCTCATATAGGAATTCCTACATATAATCTTATAAGGGTCATATGATATTGAATTGGGTTTATATGTGGAAGGTTCTGGAACTGAGTTTTGTAGCTTTTGGGGTCTGGGATTGAAAGTTGAAGTATGTATAGCGGAGTTTTACGAAAAAGTATATATGTACATATATGTAGGATTGTGTAGGAGCTGCATAGGTTTAAGGACTTCATGATCAGGGATATTGCCCTTACGCATGAGGAGCTTTGAGCACGACTCCATTTAAGAGCCTGCTGAACCACAATCAGGGGCCCTGCACCATGGACCAACCTGCACCCGTGCATCAGGAAGCCACCTGAAATCTATAAACCCCAAACAGCCCATTTCTCAAAGGCAATTCTTTCCAACTGCAGGCGTTTCTTAGTTTTCGAAGGCTGAAACTTTTGCCCTCAAGGTTGCAGGCGGAAATTCGGACAAGGGGGAGGTTGCAGGAAATCCCCTCTCAGCTCTGTTACGAAGAATTTGCCACCCAAGGGTTTTCCGACAAAGCTTCTTGGTAGGATGA